GGATAAATGGGCTTGTTTATTTATGTAACCTTTCAAATGAAATAACTATGTTGTCCATTAATGCAATATAAACCTCAATGTCTGTTTATGCAGACATGAAAGTGTGCATGAGTCACCAGAAAAAGCTCAATAATTCGGCTCAGACTACCATAAACTTTAGCTCAAATGTTGCAGAAATCTAAGAGACCAATGTTTCCAATCTGGAAAGGATTTATTTCAATGCAAAATCAGATAATAATGGGTGAGAAGTAAACTGTCTGCAAGGGAAACAGTACGCTGCCTTTACTAGATATACACACAAAAATATTTATGAGCTTGAAATAGCACTACTTCAACCTATTTTACTTACCTAAAGGCAAAAAGTAACTTTCCAAATAACAAAATAAAAAACTCAAGTACTGAGATCATCAAACCTGATTTAATATTTTTAAGCAGACAAAATTCTGACACTTTAAAGACTGAAATAATAATAAAATACTAACAATAAACACAAAACAACACATAGGAAACACTTTTTCACATCAGGTTTTCAGATTTACATTTGACATAAATACATTGTTCCATACTGACAATAGGTAATATGTACAGTAGAACACAGTAGCATGCATCCATTGGCAATAAATAATGTCTACTGTGTCTTATTGATCTTCAAACGGTCAAACTGTCATTTGTTTCTAACTATTAGAAATAAGAAGTCTCACTCAGACGTAAACCTTAGATGTGTGTCTGTGTCTCATTTGGTTTTTGGTTAAAATATGTTTATTTTTTCTTCATTGTATTGAATAAAGTATCCAGAAATTTTACTCAAGTAAAAGTAGCAATGCTTCATAATAATGTTACTCAGGCAAAAGTAAAACTACACATGGAAGTAAATTTTTTTCCAAAAAGTTACTCAAGTAAATCTAATCAAGCAAATGTAACTAGATACTACACATCTCTGAACACAAGCTTAACTAGCTTAACTAACCATTGTTTAGCTAACATGAGACACATCCAACAGCATTATGCAACTTATTTGGTTTGTTTAGAAAAAAAACAGCAGTTTTTGTTTTGTTTTATTTTTTTCCCTTTAGCTGGTTCTGGTCGGTTTGCTGCCATGATTCTAACACTGCTCAGCAGAACATGTTCCCTGCTGACCCACAGGAGTAAAACCCGTCTGACCTAGTCGGAGCACCGACTCATTATCAGAAAAATATCCAAAAAGTTGAGTCTCAGTTATTGTTTATAAATACATACCTGATAAGGCTTAGGTGTTAAAATTACAACAAATGAAGATATAATTCCAAGACATTATATATGTGTGGAATAAACACAACTTCTCTCCAGTGTTCAACAATTCAGACGGTTTACTTTAATGAACAAACTCACTAAGCTAAGTAACACCTAATTGAACTACAAAGTAAAAGATGAAAGAAATATGAAGCTAAAACTAAACTGCACAAAAATAAATAAATAAATAAATAAATAAATAAATAAATAAATAAATAAATAAATAAATAAATAAATAAAACATCCATCCATCCATTTTCTGCCGCTTATCCGGGTTCGGGTCGTGGGGGCAGCAGCTTCAGAAGGGAGGCCCAGACTTCCCTCTCCCCAGCCACTTGTTCTAGCTCCTCCGGGGGAACTCCAAGGCGTTCCCAGGCCAGCAGAGAGACATAGTCCCTCCAGCGTGTCCTGAGTCTTCCCCGGGGCCTCCTCCCGGTGGGACGTGCCCAGAACACCTCACCAGGGAGACGTCCAGGAAGCATCCTGACCAGATGCCCGAGCCACCTCAACTGGCTCCTCTCGACGTGAAGGAGCAGCGGCTCTACTCTGAGTCCCTCCCGGATGACCGACCTTCTCACCCCATCTCTAAGGGAGAGCCCAGCAACCCTGCGGAGGAAACCCATTTCGGCCCCTTGTATCCGTGACCTCGTACTTTCGGTCATGACCCAAAGCTCATGATCATTTATGAAGGTGGGAATGTAGATTGACCGGTAAATCGAGAGCTTCGCTTTTTGACTCAGCTCTCTCTTCACCACGACGGACCCGTACAACGCCCGCTTCACAGCAGACGCTGCCCCAATCCGCCTGTCGGTCTCCCGCTCCCTTGTTCCCTCATTCGTGAACAAGATCCCCAGATACTTAAACTCCTCCACTTGAGGCAGGACGACCCCCCTGACCCGGAGAAGGCACTCTACCTTTTTCCGGCTCAAGACCATGGCCTCAGATTTGGAGGCACTGATCCTCATCCCAGCCGCTTCACACTTGGCCGCGAACCGCTCCAGTGAGAGCTGCAGATCACGTTCCAATGAAGCCAACAGGACCACATCATCCTCAAAATGCAGAGATGCGATCCTAAGGCCACCAAAACGGATCCCCTCAACACCTCGGCTGCGCCTAGAAATTCTATAGGTTATATATGTGTGGAATAAACACAACTTCTCTCCAGTGTTTAACAATTAAGCCTTACGGTTTACTTTAATGAACAAACTCACTAAGCTAAGTAACACCCAATTGAACTACAAAGTAAAAGATGAAAGAAATATGAAACTAAACTAAACTGCACAAAAATAAATAAATAAATAAAACAATAAAAACATAGAACAAGAATAGTACCAATAAAATGGTGCAATGATGCCAAAGTTCAAAGAACTGTGAATGTAAAGAAACCAGATTTATTTAGGAGGAAATTAGAAAGAAATCAGAGTTCAGCTAGGTTAGAGTGCACAAGAACATGTTGTTTAGTCCTCACACAGCAACACCAAAAACATTAAATAGTCCATAAAATCTACAGTAACATCACAGTCCAGTATGAAAATGCATAATATTGCCAAGGCATTAATGACACATATTCACTTCTAAGACCTTGTGACTATGCTAACCAGTATGAAATAATAAATACATGAATGAAGCTACCTGTACGCGCACCATTTAACCCGAGAACAATCCTCACAGCAACTCAAAACCTGTTACAGTGTAGAAAAGTTATGGTTATTAATACCAAAGATCATCTGAGAAACAATCTAGAGAATTCTTTGTTATGGGATAAAAAAAAGTCACCAGTGACCCGAAGTGAAGGAAAAGGACGAGCATCTCCAGTTTCAATGTTCTTCAACACCCAATAATACCTTCACCATCACTTACTGTAATGTGAGAATGTTACACCACATTACAAAAGAAAATGTTCTTCAGATGACAAAGCAGAATAGCTGTGTAAGGCTATTCCAGGACGGTATTGGCCCGGAGCATTCGTACAGGAATACAATACACAACATTTACACTCTTGCTCATTTACAAGTGATCGCAAGATTCAGATTCATCGTGCAGTCACCGTGAAAGGTTTTGCTAGAGACAAGTTTTGCTCTGCTAACTTTTCGTTTCCTCGTAGGTGTTAAGGTATTGCAGGATGGATCGAAGGACACCCAAAACCTTTTTTGTCACAATTCAGTGTTGAATGTTGTAAACTGAGCCCTCCACACCCCCACCTCCACCAATGAACGAGGGCATCGACACAGTTAACCTACTACCTCAGGTCAACTCAGAGAAAAATGAGGCATTTAGACATATTTCCCGTTTAGACTCAGTGTGCCAGAGAAGCCCTGAGGATGAGAAAAAACACAGAGGAGAAAAGTCACCAGTGAGCCGGGTGAGGAAACCCTGCGAAGGAGCCCTGGAGATGAGGAAAGCCTTGGAGGGGCCCCAGAGACCGGAGACTACAAGAAAGCTTTACATGCCGGAACCCATATAGGTTCTAAAGAGGCTAAGGTCCACCAGGACGTTCTGCAGTTTAGGGCCCCTGGTGGAGCTCTGCAAAGACTGCTGAGCTGCTGCCAGTTGAGAGGCTGCTGGTTCTACTGCCATCTGCATTGGGCAGATGAGCAGTCACTTTGGGCGGCTGAAATCCTGCTGCTGCAGCTGAAGGAGAAGAAACAGGGGCCGAAGTGCCTTGATGCCAACGTGGCGCAGACTTAAGACAGAGGAGGACATTGGGTCAAGGAGTGGAGGAGTTAGAGCAGGTCATTCTGATGGTAGTAGTAAGGATGGGTCATGGAGTGGATGTTGTCCTTTAGGACGTCATTGGCCAGTATTAAAAAAGAAAAAAACATCTGTCGTGTCCCCATAGAAAATAGTGTTCCAGATTGCACTCACTTAGCTGGGGAGGAGCTTCTACTGTTTCTGGGGCTGACAGCTGAACTGCAGCTGTTACTGGAAGCTGAGGAACCATGATCTAGAGGCGTAGCCAGGGCTTAATAGGTCAGAGGCGGGCGGCTAAGTATTTTTCTACTGATTTAATCTAAAAGCTACATTTTAAACATTGTCCTGGCAGCTGGTGGCAGCCATGGAAGGCGTAGTCAGGAATGGTATGTCGCTGATTAGTTGCTCAGCTTACACAGAATTGAGGCCAGTAAAGTTTTGACTATTGCTTCTGAGTTTTGTTTGTTACCTAGATGGTTAGCTACCCATCACCAGGGCAGGGCTCTATCCGACAGAGGAGGACAGGAGAGAAGAGGTGGACGCAGCACGCTTCTGTGTCAAACTGCCTGCTATGCGTGCAGCGCGTTCACACTGAAAGAGGCACATCATGTGTGTGTGTTTGGGATGTACGGGGGCGGTGTGGAGAGTATTGTCAGGCAAAATTACAAAAATTTGAGGCACCAGTAATATAGGCTTTTATAACCAGAAATGGATCTTACTTTACACACTGTAAAAAAAGGGCTACTTTATTTCCTAAAAGAGAACAGTGACAGGTGCTCTTGCAACTTTGGACAATGTTTTGTTGAGACTCATTGTACGGGTTCCCGAAACAGGAGAGTAAAATGATGTTAGCTTGTGTCAACCAAACAATAATCTATTTTATTTTAAAAATCAAACAGAAAGGTTCAAACATCTGGATGACCAGAGGTTTAAATACTTAACATTTTAAAAGTACCATGCCTGATCAGGATTGGCTTACTGCTGCCATCTGGTGGTAAAAATTTAGTATTATGCGAACATAAAAGGCAGATTCATTGATCTGATGTTTGCTTTCCTTGCTTTTATTGGAAGAGGAACATTGGCTTAAATAAGCCCACAGTTCATACAAAAAGGAAACATTACATTTCTACTTCTGAATGCATTGCTTTCATTCACACTGAAGGTGCTGATGGGGTTTCGACACAGACGAAGAGAGAAGTTCATGCATGTGTCTCAACAGCTTATTGTGCTAACATGACCAATGGGGTCACTGTATTTTTGTGCAGCTATTGCCATCGTACAGTAATACATAAAACTTGCTTTTCAAGAGAGGTAAACTACAATTTTGCAACCTGAGAACCAATCTCTCCAGGAAAACGTAAAACAGATCTGTTAAAAAACACAAAATCAAATTATTTAAGAGATAAAAGGGGCAGGAACAGGTTTTGTTGTTGATAAACCAGAGTTGAAAGTGCAAGCAGGTATTTGTAAAAGAGGGGATGATGACAAATTGATGGGTCTGAGTTGCTTTGGCTCAACTTAAAAGGTGCTTTCATGTTTTTAGAGCTGTAAATAAAGACAATCTTATACAATAAAATACATGTTTAGTTATGACCATGCAGTTGCATTCTCTGTCACTTGTGTAGCACTAAAGGGATACACACCAGTACAGCTGATAAGACACATCTAACCCAGCAAGCTTAAAGGGAAAATCCACAAAAAACTCACATTGTGCTATATTCACAATTTTCAACAAAACAGCCAGGTAGCATCAAAATGGACTATGATTGAAATTATTCTGATTCGCGGAACCCAGTTGGATGTTTATCATAGATACGAGGGATTTAATGGTGGTCAACATAAAACCTGAAAACGAAGGAAAAAAATCAGGGCAGAGGTTAGTAGATCAATTCCAAGCTTATTTCCAATTCAGCTGTCATCACTTACCATTTAAGTTGGAACCCAAAGAAAATGACACTCTATGGAAGGTTTGGTTCTACAGCATAAAATCAAGTTTGTCTGACTCAATAATTACACCCCAGATGTCTGAAAATGCCTTTTGACAACACACAACTACATTTAATTAGCCCCAATTTAAGGCATCTGCCTAATAAGAATAATATTTCAAGATATCTTTAATTTTGGTTTGTCAAGTCAAAATACCTTCCACAATATCTCAAATGTCTTCACCGGATTCATCATTTGAAAGGTCACACATCCATAAGGAAGCTGTAAAGTAATTATGACGAGTCAGAATTACATTTTTAGATTTCTGAATTCATTTTGAATTAATTTAGAAATCCCTCTTGTGGTGCCATTGAGCTGTCCAAAAAGGTGCCTGCAGAATTTTGGGTGTCTTGCACAAAATTGTCCGAAAATGCCATAACGTAGAAAGGTTTCAGCTGTATTCAGTTTAGTTCAAAAATATTTATGGGATATGTGGAAAATGCAAAAAAAAATTGTAAACTTGAAGACTGCTTCAGAAATCTGCAAAGAATTTTCTATTTTCTCCTCCAAGTAACACAATGCACTTAAAAATGGTTTTGAACAGAAAAACGTGCTTCTGTCAACTTTTCTTTTATTAATTTTCGTTATATTATCGAAACGTCAAAATGCAACGTAAATCTGTCATTTTGACTAGGAAAAATACTAATTCAAGATATCTGAATTAGAAAAGCTGTCCAATTAATGACATCTCTGATTCATTTGGAAATATCTTAAAAGGAATTTAAATTAGTCAAAATTATAGTTCTAGATATTTAGAATGTATTTTTGTCTTATTTGCTTTCAAAATAAATTGCACAAGTCAAATCTACATAACTAAAACTACATTTAAGATATCTATAATTATGTTGTCATTCAAGATATCTTTAATTACAGATTTGACTGATCAGAACAAAAAGTGAGACAGCTTAAATTTATTTTTGGACTAGTAATAATTTAATTGCTCATATATGAAATATATGTTTCAGATGCCAATCAATTAAAAAGATAAATATTAATTATCTTGAATTAAAGCTCCTTTACAAATTAATGGTAAATCTCCTGTCATATACATTAGTCAGGATGTAATTAGAGATGTCTCAAATAGGTATTTCATCTTAAAAAAAAAAAGGAAAAAAAGCGATATGTCTGCTCATAAAACAAATTTCAGATATCTGGAATCACACAGATCTTATGTTAAAACGGCTTGCCATAACGGTGGGGCATTTTGAAGTGAGGTTCAGTTAAAAGGTCATAAGCAGTTCATTTCTTACTGGCAGTAGATAACTGTTGTTGCATCGTCATTTAGAATAAATCCACGTTTGTTGGTCCCAGAAGGGGCAAAGGTCAAACAGGTTCAGTCACTCCTCTAAGCAATACCTTGAACATAGCCACACATAGAACCACCCTTCTACTAGATATGCAGCTGACTTGTAGGTCATGTTAACCTAAGAACCATTAAGACCCCAAACATGCCTCCATTTCTGCTCTTGTGACATCTTAAACATTAAATGTATAATGTGCTTTCTGAACCCATATATAACCGGAGTCAGTCACTGCAGTGTGGCAAACTTGGCTCCTCGGTGGCCCCTGTCGGTGGAGCGATGGTTCCCGTCATGGGAGGAAGGGGAAACGTGGTCGTCAAAGGTGGACCTGGGAGTATGTGAAGAGGCTCGTTTGTGCTTTTGCAAGCGACCTTTGGTGGGGAGCGGAGGAGAAGTGCTCCCATAGGTCTTGGAGTTGTGGTGGGTGCCACCGCATCTCTGGGAGAGCTCCAGGGAGGGGTCGGAGTTCAGAGCCGAGGTGTTTTCTGGGCAAGGAAGGGCTGTCTGAGGTTTCCCCTGAGGACACGAGGTGGCCAGAAGAGGAGTGAGAGCCGCTGACTCCAGCAAACCTTTAGGTCCCTGTACACACTGTGGAGGGGGATGGAAACAAAAGATAAGAATGAAGGCAAAACCCAGCAAAACTTAAAGGACAAACAACATGGCAATAAATTAGCTTAGTTTTAGTAAACAGAGGCCTAATTTTAATACGGGCAGTTAGGTCTCTGTAGGACCAGTGTCAGAACTTGGTCCGCACTGCAAGTCTGGTCTGTTTCTGGTGAGAGTTGGACTAAAGCTGCCCTTTGTCACTGATTCTCTTCATAGCTTTTACAGACAGAATTTCTAGGTGCTGAGGGGATCCATTTCGGTGGTCTTAGGATCGTGTTTCTGCTTTTTGCTGATGTGGTTCTGTTGGCTTCATCAGGTCATGACCTACAGCTTTCACTGGAACGGTTCACAGCTGAATGTGAACTGATGAGGATCAGTGCCTCCAAATCCGAGGACATGGTCTTGAGCCGGAAAAGGGTAGATTGCATTCAGCAGGTCAGGGAAAACGTCCTGCCTCAAGTGAAGGAGTTTAAGTAGCTTGTGTTTTTGTTCACGAATGAAGGAAAAAATGGAGTAGTAGGTCAAAAGGTAGATTGCCACTGCCTCTGCAGTGATATGGGTGTTATACTGGTCTGTCGTGGTGAAGAGAGAGTAGAGTCCAAAGGAAAATCAATGGTTGACTGCCTGCTCTCATCTATGGTCACCAGCTTAATATCGGGTGAGAAGCTTGAACATCCTGGAGGGACACAGAGTCCAGCCGCTGCTTCTCTACATCGAGACAAGCTAGTTGAGGAGGTCCGGGTATCTGGTTAGGACACCTCTTGGACTCCCTCCCTATAGAAGGAGTCCAAGAGCCGACCTGGGTCTCCTTCAGATTGGCTCATCCCACCTGGAGGAGACCCAAAGGAAAATCAAGGACACACTGGAGAGTCTATGATTCTCGGCTGGCATGAAGGAGCTGGACCAAGTGGCTGGAGAGAGGGAAGCCTGGGTCTCTCTGCTTAGGCTGCTACAGCCACAACCTGACCTCATATAGTATAAGTGGGTGGGCGGACGGACGGATGGATGGAAAGCATAAACTTTGAGACAAAATTTAGGTTTTGTTTAGGCCAAAAAGCTCAATTTTGGCTTCATTTGTCCAATGTTGTCTGGTAATTAAGATTTTGTCAATGTAGCAAAAAAGCAAAACAGAAGAAATCTGTGAAGGCGGCAAATACTTTTACAGTGCAACCTATAAAATGCTGAAGGGTCACACTCCTATTCATGTATCATGGCAGTGCTGGTAGATAAGCATGCAGGGCAGCTGGGGAAACAGAGACAGCAACAGGTACTGGATCAACATGCTTCCCCTCCCTCTGTCTGAACATGCTTACCATGCTCAAGTCTCGTCATTTCTGCTCTAAAAGCAGCTTATTAGCCAGCGCAGGACACTGCAAAGTCCAGACACGTCTCCTCCTGACAATGGAAATGGGGTACAGGCACAGAGACACACCACAGACACAACAGTGAGTTGGGGTGCAACTGAAGACACACAAACCGGGTGTGGACCAAAGATCAGCTGCAAGGTGGAAATGTTTAGTCTGAACGGTGAGGAAGGACCAACGGAACGGGGAGGGGAGCACAGAAGGAATGCGACAGGTCTGGGGTCCCACTTATAAAGGTGGAGTACAAGCAAAATGGGGCCTAAACCTGGTACAAAAGTTGTGATGTAAAATATCAGTATCAGTATCGGCATCAGATCGACGGTAAGGTCAATACTTTAATTTAGGACTCCCTCTTGAATTTTATTTTGCTTTTGTATTGCAGTTTCTCAACTCTACTTCAAAAATGTTTTGCTGTGATTTGCTCTCATTTCTGCACTTTATTTAGAAAACACACAAATGTGTTTCATTTCTGTCGTTTCTACACTAAAAAAGAAAAAAAAGAGAATGGAGAATGGAGCTTCAGCTTAAAAATTGGTTAATTTGTGACATGTAGTCGAAAGAAGTTTATCAAGTTAACTTTATTTACATTTTCTGTATCATGTAAATATGTCATTAAAGTATTTTGTAGACACTTATGAACATTACTTAAATTCTATCATAGGTTTTAAAAAGCATAATTAAAAAAAACAACACAAAAACATCTAATAGTCAGAAGTTTGATGACATATCAAGCTTAAATAAAAGTTATCGGTATTGATATCGATGACACTGTATTCACTTGATATCGGATCGATACGAAAATATGCTGCATCACACACCTCTACTGCATAGTCTAATAAGGAGGAAGGGAATAAGGAGGAATGTTGAATAATTGTGCTAGATTTTAGTTAAGAAAGTCAAAATAAGAAGGTGAGCTTTCTGGATTTATATTTGTAAAAAAGTTGAAAACCGAGTATTTTTTCCTTCCAATGTACATGTTTTCTGTGGTGTTGGTTTATCACATAAACTCTGAATAAAATACATAATTTGTGGTTGTATTGTAGCACAAAGAAATGTGAAAATGCCTCAGGCATTGTACTGCAAGACACAGTACATTCATTCAAACACAACGGGAAAAAAAACGATACAAATGGCTTGAAAGGTGTTCCTCTAGCGTAAACAAAAGCCCACCTTGCCAAAAAGCAGCTATTTGATATCAAAGTAGACTGAAACTGCACCCGAGGTGCAGAAACTACTGTAAACAAAAGTTCTTAGCAAGCCTCCAGAATCCTTTTGTATCCACCTCTGATTTGGGAGAACAAGAAAACAACAAAGGAAGCTAAAGTTTTCCCTTTTTACTATGCCTGAACTTTCTGAAAATACTCCAAACAATTAAAATACACAATAGCAGCGTTTCCATTGAAAATGTAATTGCACAATTTGACATTTCGAAAATGAATCTGCTTACTGGAAACACACCCATTTCTTAAAAAATAAATAAAAAAAAAGAAAATGTTCTGGCGCGAGTACGAGATGAGGTTTTTTGACTGTATGGAATTTGGTTTATTTCGCAAAACTCCAGTGGAAATACTTTTTTTGCATCACACGAGTAACATGATGAGCAGCCGGATGTTGCCGCTGGCGCAAACCACGAAGAAGAAGGTGACAGGAAGTCGTTGGAGGATGATGTCACAGCATGTTTTCAGTGACGTTGCGTGAACAAACTTATTCACATATGATTTTAATTACGTTTCTTCAGAAATGGAAACACGGCATTGCAGAATTGTGTTTTTTTCTACATTAGCGGTATACTGACAAAGTTTTACAACCATTTGTAATGGAAACCCAGCTACAGAAAGACTTTATACAACCATCAGGAACAATGAAGTACAGCAACGTCTGTGCTTTTACTAAATGGCAAACAAACAGTGCCTTTCTATGACGTAAGTCTGGCTGAAATTCAAGTAGTTGTCGCTGAGAGAGACATCAAGCTTGAAATCACGATGAATGTTGACTAGTGACAGCAGTTTGAATACAGCACAGAGGGGAGGAACCTCCACAGGACACTGGGAGACAGACAGGCAGACAGACCGCTCTGGGACTACAGCAGGCAGCAAGGATTCACGCAGGCAGGGCTGCAGGTTTAGTTTGATTCAGGAACAGGGAAAAATCAGCGGAAGATTTCTGCAAGTCAAGGACCAGATGGGATGATCCTCCTACCACGTTTATATCGCTTTTAGTGCTTGGATTGGGCAGCTCCAAGTCCACGCCGCTCGTCTGGGCCGGCTCATCCGCGGGCAGGAAGCCTCGTCTGTCGATCAAGCTTTAAAGCCAGAAAGAAAAAAGAAACTAATTAGGGTTAATAGGGTTAATTGCATTTAGAGCAAACCTCTTGTATAGTGGGTATTCTTAGTAAGGAATACGCTCTAATGAAGATGTATACAGAACAAAAAAACGTTTCAAACTGGAAGATTGACAGAGGAAACCAAATGTTTACGTACACTGTATGAAACTTTTTTATCCTCTTTGTCTGACATTAAATCAGACTAAACCTTCCCCTTTTTTAGGACAGTAAGGTTCATCAAAACTATTTCTATCTGCCAAATGTAATGATGTAATGTGAAAATTGAAGAATTAAACACCAAATAATTAAAGATTGAGCTAATGTCACAGCACTGATCTAATAATAACCTAATCTAACCTCACATTATGTTATGCAGATGATCAGCAGGATGCTGCACCAAGTGGGGATTGCTTGGCCACACTGTGTTGTCTATAGAAATACATTTAATTTGCTGGCTGACAGCTCAAGCTTCAAACAGCAAACCACTAAACGACCAAATGGAAACTATAAAACTAAGAATTAGAGAGGGTTTTTTTTAACCTCTTCGAAAAATACTACTTTAACAAATCCTGCATCCTGATGAGGATTTAATACAAATAATGTCTGTTCAACAATCTTTGAAGCTTTAGAGACTGACCTGGGTGGCATGGGCACACAGAGAACTGAACAACAGTTAATAAAAATGTTTTTATGACTGTATGGGTTGGTTACAGCTTCTCCACTCTTCCCCGACCAGGAGCCTTTGATCTGAAAAAATAAATTAATAAATAAAAATACATGGTTGCACACTAGTCAGTTTTTTTAAGCAGATATTATAATGGTTTCCATTATGTAACAACTACACCCACACTTTCACATCCCACATATGTGTATATGAGCTTTTGGCATCTCTGCTACCAAAAATATATCCACCCGGTGTAGAGATCACAGGCTGTGGAAGTCCTGTTCCCTAGGATTTTATGTCTAGAACTTGGAAAACTGCAAAAGTCAATGACTGACAGACAGGAAGGTGGAGAACAATAAAAGAAGAGTGCTGTGGTGGAGCAGGGGTTAAACACAACCCACATGTGGAGGCCTTATTCCTCGATGCGGACGTCACAGGTCCGAGTCTCGGCATTCACCCCCTCTCTCGTTACCCACTTTTCTGTCAATTCACTAACATATAAAGGCGACTGGAGCCTTTAAAATAAAATGAAATATTAAAGACAAATGGAAAGAAAACAAACAATAGCAGGCAATGTTAGTGAATGATGGGAGAATAAAAAAAGAGAGGAAGAAAGGATTGGATGTAGTGCAGAAAACAAGAAGAAAGGACAGGGGAAAGGAAGGAAAGACAGGTGGGCCATAAGAGAGGGATGAACGAAACAAAGAATGAAGGAAATTCAGGAAATAACAAACAGAGGAGTAAAGAAAGTATGTATGGTCACAATTTAGACCAAAGGGATATGGAAATGCAAAGATCTTTTCCTATTTATCCAAACATGTACAGCACTGAAATCAAATGCCTGACTGCATAGCAACCACAGTCTTACATTTGTTGTTAATTTTTGTTATAATTGCATTTGCACTTGTCCAACTTTCATCCCATCACATTGAGCAGCAGCACATACTCTGATGTTTAGTGTACTTACGTCTTCATTGGTGGTCAGATTGGAAGCAACAAGGTAGGTATGGAAGCCCGAGAGGCCCAAGATAGACCAGACTGAGAAGAAGCATATAGCCAACTCCACTGCAGTAAACGAGTGGGTCAAAGAAAACATCACAGGAGGTTCAAATGATTCCACTGAGGAGTTTCTTTTTCTTTGGTACATGGTGTAGTACAACACAACGTTCAGAAAAAAGAACAAGTATTACTCACACTATAAATTCTGTAACTGATTTACTTATTGAAGCTGGTCATGATTTAACATTATGTCAGATTCTGAGTCATAAAAGCAGCAACCAGCAGCTTTCTAAAAGATGAAAGTAGCTGAATGTAGGAAGTCAGAAGGTTTTATACAGCCTTATCATCAGTTTACTCAGTATGAAACAGATGGCAGGGAAAATGAAACCCCATGAAAGGATATCTGCCAGGACTCTCCTGAAGGGCAAACATCAGGCCTTTTCCTCCTTTGGCCCCTAAAACAAAAAGCACAAACTACTGTATTCACAGACCTGATAGTGGAAAATAATCCTGAGCCTGAAGTTTTTTCCACACCCAGGAGGCAACGCACTTTTAACACATAACAGAATCATGTATAAAAATAACCCTTTCAACCCTTGGGTGGTTTCTGGGTTTGCGGGCTCCTGGCCCCAGATGGTTTTTGTGTATAACATACATGTTGCCAAGAGGCGCTCCAAGCATAAGCCCTGGGAGAACATGTTAAAAAAATCCCCTTAAGTGTTAAGATTCTAGTGAATTGTGTGAATGCAAACAGACAACATTCAGGCAGGACATGAACAAACCTAACGTGAGTCTGAATTACAGTAGATTCTTTGGGCGGAGCCCAAGGCTTCAGGGGCCCCTGAGCTCCTGGGGCCCTGAGTACAAATCCCAGGTAAACTCAGTAATCCATCCCTGCTTTTAACTAGTCTCTTCACTGCCTGCCTACTGCTCTTACCATGTGTTCACAACAACAGCGACTAGAGCTGTAAAACTGCCAGAAGTAATTCACTTTTTATGAACTAAAATGATGATAAGACTTTATTTAATGGGTACGACATGAGATGAATCAGGAACATGAATTAAACTATTAATGGTGTCAGTGGGTGTTCGTATCCCAAACAATGTTAGCTTTTCAAACATAGCTCAGGTGACTGAAGGACGTCTTTTAGTTGCATTTGTGATGTTGTCAAGGTGCTGCATTTTCGAGACATTGAACTGGTGCATTAAAAATGCTGACAGCGTTCATCTTAGCTCCTAAGAACTGTTGTTAATGAGAAGCTTGTTGTGATGATGAGCTGAAAGTGGAGAGTTTCAGCTCTTCTTAAAGAGGCAGAGGCCCAATTTCATGGTGTCAAATTACAAAGTCATATTTCTTTTCTTGATATATAAAGTATTTTTATAACAGCTGAAGGTAACAGTTACTTGATTGTGCTATCAAACGGCACTATGTACCAAGAACATGTATAACACCACTCCTTCAAAAATGAAACCCTAAATCATGCACAGATATAAACATGTTCTTACAGTTTATGGCTGGGCAGGACTCACATCTTTCCCATTATAGGTAACAATGATCTACTGTATGTTGAAAAGTGAATCGTGCCATATGGTGCCAATGTGAGACCAGAGAGTCCTCCATTCAGGGGGTGTACGTGGGATTCCAGATGGCTGAAGAAAGAAAGAGTCGCTTACTCAAAGCCAGATGTGTGGTCACACAACCGAAGATGAACGCCGTCAGGAAAGACAGGGACACGATGAAGGTGTAGAAGAACCGGTAGTTGCGCTTCCCGACACAGTTCCCCACCCAAGGACAGTGATGGTCGAAACGCTCTGCAAGTTCAGGAAAATCTGATGAGATTTGACTGGAAAAGTACGAGAACAGCCCACAGCAACCTTCCAGAACATGCTCTCTGTTAACGGAACCTGTGGAGCCGTGCTCACTCCAACACTCTGTCAATGCTCTCTGTCAATATTGACAGCTGGTAAAATGTCTCATGGTGTCTAGTGAGTCTATCCACAGCTCACCCACACAGTTGTCACACAGGCTGCAGTGGGACGTGCGAGGAGGCCGGAACATCTTGCAGGTGAAGCAGTACTTGAGCTTGATCACCTGCTGGTTGATGAGGACCTCCTTGGTGCGAGGCGGAGGCCGATAGCTGGCGTTCCCCGTGTCATCTATGGAGAGAGGCATTGCTTTTTTTTATAACATGATTCTCTTTGACGAGAAGCCCCAACTCACATCAGATGCCCTAACACAGCTGATCAGACCTCTTCCTGTGGATAAGTACTGATATGGATACAAAAAGTTAGAGTTCTTTCCTCTAGAACGGGGTGTCCAGGCTTTCTGTCACGTGAGCCAAAATCAATGAGGCAATAGTACAAAACTAAAATCAAGCAAATAAAGTTGTCTGATTATGTTTGTTTGTTGTTGTTGTTGTTTCTTCTTTTAATTTTTTGTAAGGGATGTTATTCATCGTAGATCCAAAACTTATAAAGGATTTTGCACCTTTATTACAAGAAAAACAATCTAGTTTTCAAGTTGATTGGGCAAATTTATTCTCAGTATAAGAACAGGATTTGAGTTCACTTTCATTCAAAAAGCTTGCTATACTTAGCCAGGTTTGATAAAACAAATAAAAGCTGATTTGACTGTGGTAAAGTCAGATGTGGTTCCATTATAAAGCTTGGTAATAAAAAGACAAATACTTTATGTTGTAATTAACATTTTCCATTAAGTGTTTGATGATCTAGTGACGTCGTGTTTCCAGTCGGACTCGGTACGCTTATAACTCCAGTGAATTCTAAAAAAGTTGTCTCAACTGTCACTAGTAGAAAACACTTATATCACACAAAACTCTTAGTGTTTCCATGGAAATGACCATGATGAAAAACATCTCATGCTTGTATTGGTGAATACTTTTACAAAGAACTTTATATACTGCTCAAAAAAAATAAAGGGAACATTTCACTTTAATTTTGTGTGTGGCTCCAAATCCAGGCCTCCATTGGTTAATAAATTTGATTTCCATTGATGATTTTTGTGTGATTTTGTTGTCAGCACATTCAACTTTGTACAGAACAAAGTATTCAATGAGAATATTTCATTCATTCATTCTGTTTTCCCTTCTTTTCTGACCAATCACAGAACCTCTGCTGAATTTTGACCAATCCCCATCTAATTTAACTTCTTGTTTCTCGACGTCTCTTGAAAGCTGAACCTGCGAGATGAAAGCATGTGTGACGCTAAAATGGTAACATTTATCCTTTTTATTTTTTGCAAAAACCAGAATGATGTGTTCTGCTTGATTTGTTTCTACTCCATAAACAGTTCACTGAATGATCCATATGGAATTCTTCTTTTGCACTTTGACCCTTCTTTGGAACATGATTTTACCTGTATAAGATTAAGATTGTATCAAGAACTTGTAAATGGTATTTGCACTTTAAACATTAACCATGGTAAAATCCTGTCTTCCTTGGGAAGGATGGGTGTAACAGTTTTCACTATTTTGTAAGACCATCTTATGGCTGAAATAAAGTTTTAAGAAAATTGCAACTTTTACCATAATTTTGTAAAAAAGGTGCCACAAACTCAGTCATTTCAAGCTGCAACAATCACAAAAATCATTGCATCCAGGAGGGACTGACTATGTAATGAAATAAAAGAAAATGAATGAACATAGCTTATACTTCTGAATAAATGTTTGCCACATGTGGCATAATCTTAAAATAACTTGAACAAAAGTAGCACAGTTGAATAAGATAGCCATCTTACATCACTGCCATCTTATGGCAGTGATGCTTTGGTCCTGTGTAGGAGGCTCCAAGGAGCACAGGAACAGAACTTTGGGTATTTTTGCCAACAAACACAACTACTGGAGAACTACTGACACATGTGAAGAGCAGGGAGCAAAGAAACTGAAAGAGGGCTGAATAATTTAACATTGTAATTATACAGCTATATGAAGTTGACTTGACCTTGACAACGCTTTAGGAAGCCACTTGTGCCAAATGTTCTCCATATTTAGCAGCATAAACTGTTAATCTAAAGGTGGCAATGTGTCAAGAGGCCATTAAATATCCAAGAGACGTGGTTTCTTACCAATCTGCCTCTCGATGTCTGCGGCCTCCTCTGGAGTGGCTCGAGGCAGGATGCCAGGGTCAGTGAAACTGGTCTGGAGCAGCGTGATGAGCACGAACACAAACAGGACCCCTCCGATAGCAGGTATACAGCTGGTCAGGTGTTTGACCAGGAATGGGCAACTGTGACAATCACACACACACACACACACACACACACACACACACACACACAGAGAGAGAGAGAGAGAGAGAGAGAGAGAGAGAGAGAGAGAGGAGGAGTTGCAAAGAGACTGACCTTAACCAGAGCTGGAAACAGATCAGGACGACTGCACTGTGGTTTACAGACGATCTGCTCTCATTTAATAACTCAGGCTTTTAATTACCGCCTGAAGCCCTGTGAGACAGAACACACTTTCCACCATGTGGTCACAGAGAGAATAGCAGCTTTTAGTGATCTTTTTTTGTTTTGTTTTGTTTTTTTGTTACTGAATTGCTTAGAGTTGTTTTACAATACTGTTAGCAGCCAGGAGAAGCATCATCATTTGAAGGGAAGAAGCAGGAAGTATGTTATCCATGGGTGCAGTTTCACTTTGATAGTATAAATATGAAGGACCTCTTATACTTCAGGCATTTGGGAGTGATTTAATAATTCAAAACGACTCAAATTTAAGAAGTGTAAATCATAAGAGATGGTTTTAGACTTCTTTTTTAAAATTGTTGTTCTTCGGTGTATTTTTCTTCACTAACAAATGCACACTGTAAATAAACACGTAATGAATTATAGAATTTGATTGGAGGGATAGTCAAAACCAAAGGTCTTTGAAAAGTACATTAAAGAAAAAACAGATTATTCTGCTTTCTATGTGTTTGGGTTGATGACATCACAAAAGGCATATGAGCTGATGGATAAATACAATGTACAATTAGACCTGTCGTGATATCAAATTTTGCTTGTTGATAAATTGTTCCAGAAGTTATTGCGAAAAAACAATAATTCTGCTGTTTATAAACCATTTTCACGTGTTGTGTTGATAATGGCATAATAATGCAAATTCGCTAAACTTTTATTTTGTAAAGAGCACTTCACACTGAAACTAGAAGATATTTTAAATATCCAAAATAAAACACAACAGCCAAAATCAATACATAAAAATAAAATAAAAACCACACACAATCGAAACATAAATAAATTGGATCATGAAGTCTCTAAGCAAAACGGCCCTTCAAAAAAGATTAATCGTCGGAATGGAAATTATCAAGCTTATTTTAATTTAATACGACATTAATTGGCTAATCGATTCATTGTTTATTGTGACAGGCTTATGAACGATGAGTGACTTTTGATTATTGGTGTAATGCTACGCAGAACTCAGCTAGACAAGACACGATATTGAGTTCATGGCAACAAGATGAGACGAGATTTTAACATTACTTCATAGAAATCTTCAAAGAGCTAACATAAAACAAGCAGTACATTAACTTAAGCGAATCCCTGAAGATTTTAGGTTTGACGTAGTCCAAATACGATTCCCAAACCTTGAGGAAAAAGTTTGTCTTCAAGTGTGAAACACATGTCTAATATTCTAATGGCATGAAATCAGCCCCTTGCACTACTTTACTGCATCAGGCAGGGGTACAACTCTGATGTGCATGCAGACATTACATTATAGGTATGGGCCTCTGTTATTGATCATTTACACATGCACAAACGGCTGTTAAATACAGAAAATGTGACTAGACATATTTTTTACGCCATCCTTGGCGCCCCCTGTAGCACAGCGCCCCTATTTGTCGTATATAATGCCATTTTTTGCGGCACTGGTATCAGGATACTTTTGTCTTGCAGCAAAAGTGAGTCTGGGATATGATTTTTTTTAATCATTTGAGGTCATATTTTTTATCAGTAGGGACAAACGATCAATTTGAGCACATATTGCTAATATTTTCTGAATTTCACCATTTATATTAGCCTGTAAACACAAACAAAAACGATGTTTGAAAGTCCCAATTTCTGATTGACACTCATGACACACAGGAGAGTTCAGAACCAATGAAGTAGTGTTTGCAGTTTGGTGAAATTTGCATCGTTTGAAATGTTTTGTTGGATTTCCCGAGTTTTCTGAACAATCTTCTAAAACATGTTTTATTACTGTTCAGTCTCCCTGAAACCCATGCAATGTTTTTACTTATGACTACAAGAATTCCATGCAGCTATATGGAAAACAAACAACAACAAAAAAAAAACTGATTAAAAACTTGTTTAAAACAAAAGATCAAAATAACCACAGGAAAGGGCACGTGAATGCTTCGTTTTAGGAGGGGAAATTATCTTGAGTAAATGTTTGTTATTGAAACAAAATAGCAAACTATGATATGCTCTTTAGAAGTGAGGTTAATTTTACCAAACTTCAGTTGGTTTAAATATACGGAACAGAGTGGAAAACACAACTCACTCAAATATGAAAAATAAACCGCTCGTGACGAGGATAAGGCCCAGAGTGAGGGGAAAGACCCCACTCTGACGGGCCATCATAATCCGTCCATCGCAGAAGAAGCGGTTCTTCCCGGGGAAAACTTCCCACTTTCTCCTGGGTGTTCTCCCGTCATCGCCGACAGCCTGGTGTTGGTGAGAAGGGGGGCTCTGGGTGGGTGTCGGCAGCGCCTTCGGGTCGATCTGCTGATACTCACGGCTTTTCATGGTTTCTAAAACAGAGTGGGAGCTCTGTCCCGATTAGGGCACCGAGAGACAACATCACCGGATCCCGACCACTCTGCTGAGGTGGACGGCCGTCACGAGCGTCGTCCTTCCACGGATAGAACAAGCTAGTAATACCTCTCTGTGGATGGTCAATAAATAAGTGTGTGACTCCGGACTGCAAATAATGTCATTTTTAACCTCCATGCCGCTTCATTAACGATTCTTTTCCGTTTACAGGAAGACTGAATCCTAGCTGGAGCGATAATCCACTGCCCATAGTTAGCTTAGCTCTTCCACTCAGCAGCGCAGCCAGTTCATCCAGATGTGTCCTGATTTACTGAACATCACTGAGCAACATCCGTGTTGCTAGCTGCACGGCTTCCCACACATTTTAATCTGCATCACTTCTTGGGCTCGTCGTCCTTGTTTATATAGATGACACTTAACATAAAAACCTAAGTTGCTCTCAATTCTTTCCAGCGAGACCTCGAAACCCTTTTTTATTTTTTTATAACCTAATGGCTTAATGGTGAGGATTGCGGCTCATTTTCGAGATCCATATCATATGAGTCGGCTCTTCTAAAAGAACTACTTCGCCAAACGGCGCTTCGTGTCTTTTTTTTAATTTAATTTATTTTAAGCGCAAGCGGCTCTGTATCTATGAGAGGGGCTAACATAAAGTGTTCTGCAGCATAATGTGGGTCACTTGATAGAGCCGCTTTGTTTAATTTAATCTCAGATTAAAGCAATCTGTTCTGTGAAGCCCTCGAAAGTTTGCAAGATAACATTAGAGAATAAAACAAAAATAAATACCATTGAATATAGTCTCTTCCAGAAACTGATGTGCAGATATAAAATTCGTCGCTAAAATAACCTGTGAGGTGCTGCTGTGTTACAAATAATTGTTTAAACGACATTATAATGGTTTTTAACTAGTTTTAAATATAGTTTTATTTCACATTATTCTAAGCTATTTGAAAACTAGAATGTTTCTTGTTTTAAGAAGCCATTGATGTATTTATTCCCTATAGCTCTGGTGGTTAAATGCTTCTGTACTAAACTTTTTAAAACTTAAGTAAATAAATCAGAGCAATAGCGGAGTTAATGGCTTTAGTCTATTTACCCAGGTCACTTAGCAACCTTTCAGATTTGCAGTTGGAAGTGGTTTGAGGAGGTCATTCTCAGATCTGAGTTCACAGGTATGAAAACATATATAAAGCAGATGTCAATTTATTGGATCAAAATCTGGTTCAGGGGTCAACCTTTACAAGCTAGAGAGGCATTTCTGCTTTCTGACTAAACTTATTTAGAACTGCAACTNTCACATTACTTTTTCAATAAATAAATAAATAAATAAATAAATAATAATAATAATAATAATAATAATAATAATAATAATAATAATAATAATAATAATTTTATTTTTGCTTTTAGGATTTAAAAAAAAAAGATAAAAAAAAAACATTTTGCAAAAAGAGGCTTGATAAAAACAAATTCTGTAGGATAGAAAATGGTGTTTAAAAAAAACACATAGATTCCAACAAGAAAAACAGATATTACTTGTTCTATTCTTTGTAGAAATTAAATGCAAATATTGCAGGAAAAAAACTGTGAAAACCCGCAATTGTTGTTATATTTAAATAAAATAATAAAAAAAAACTTTAGTGGTTTATCATTTTAACTGTATAAAGAGCCAGCTCCAAAGAGCAGCTTGTGATACCGCAGCCGCAGCTGCAAATCCCTGTTCTAGTCCAATCAAAGTTATCAATGAACTTTTTTTCTTCGTCTTTTTCTTTCAAATCCATTTGATGGCCCCGTTCATTCATATATTTATTTATCTCTTAATGCATGTATCTGTTTTTTGTTTTCAGTTTCTTTTTTCACGGCATGTCTAAGTACAACCCAAGCATATCAATAGCATAATAAACTTTCCGAATGTTGTTACGGCTTTCCGGAAATGTCAGTCAATACTTGGAGTTTCAAAATAAACTTGCATCAATTTGAATAGCAGGATGCGCCACTGAAACTTATATTTTGTCATTAAGGAAGCTTATGTCCTGCACGTTTATAGATCTATATATATAGGCGTGCATGAGCGAGTACGCGTGCTTTAGAATCCACAGAGTTTGTCATTTTACCTGAGTTTTATTTTCTACAACCACTTCTAACCGGAAGTCCACACTTCGGTTTCGGCTTACCTGGTTCGCTTCCTGTACCTTGACGCTCAGGTACTCGGATTTCCCCCAAACTTTCCTGAAACTTTCATTTTGGAGTGATTTGGATTCAATTCCTCGCCACAGATGGATTAAAACATACATGTTGGCTTGCAGGACACAGGGAAGGCCGTGATTTTGGGGGCAGTGGGCTTGTGGACGCAGCGTACTCTGGCTATAGGTGAGAAGTTTATAATGGAGGAAGAGACACAATGACAGTCGCCATGAACGTGAAAACAATATTGATACACGCTCAAAAAAGTGACTGCGAGCGAATGGCTCCAGTATCTTAACCTAACCTAAGTAGCTAACTGAATTAGTAATTAGGCTACATATTCGTAAAACAGCGAAACGTTTTCGTTGAGTGGACAAGATTAAAGCGACGTTGCTCTGAGCGCTGTAAACAGTCGTCGTCGTAGAGGACGTCAGCCCTGAGAACAGACTGCTCAACTCATGTGTTCTACTGGTGACCATATACAGGATAATTCAGCCAGAATCTTATAGTATTAATATTTTAATAACCTTATTTTTACCTTTAGAAATAATGAACATTATTACAAATTGAGATATCTAAGCTGATGCCAGCTTTACCACATAACTTTACTATTCAATCTTATTAGCATAATTATTATACTAATTAATCTCACTACAAAAAGTATCATAATAATAATTGTTATTATTATTATTGTTGTTTTGGTTGTAGATGCCCAATTATTTATTTTACAATGATAACGATTAAGTTAAAATGCATTATTGTTACTTTATTATAATTTCTTATGTTATTAATAATGACAGTGCTGTTGGTATCATTATTAATATTAATATTATTACAAATGTAGACTAACACCATCAATAACACATAACGTGTTCACTGTTATTATTGTCACCTTTTTTAAATGATAGCTATACTAATTATTCATATTACTGACAAGAATTACTTTTACTCTATTATTATTGTTATTTTTTTCGTTTAATATTATTAAAACAATTATTATACCAATTAACCACATTATAAAAATATTAATATCATTGTTGCTATTCCATATTACAAGCCTTATAGATGCTTATTGTTCTTTTTTTTACTAATATTATTAGTAGTATTAGTAGTATTAGTAATGGTAGTACTACAGTAGTAGTCCTAGTAGTATTAACATATAAAATATTCTTATTAACGACAGTAGCTAGTATGTTGGTATCTACTGCTATAATTTTTTAATATTACTACAATACCAAGACAAAATTATACCAAAATAAATAATTTTACTTTTATCACAAGTAGCCATTAATAAGCTTATGCATTGCAGTGAGACAATGATAATAATAACAATACAGTTAATAATAATAATAATACAAATGATGAATATTGTCAGAATTATTATTAATGCTATTATTATTATTATTATTATTATTATTATTATTATTATTATTAAAATTAATGCAACTCAGTTAATGTTTGTTTTTACTTTATTTGTGCCTTACTCAGCAGTCTTGACTATGCACTCCTCAGTTGTGACCAAACTGAGTGAGTTGTTTATCATTGTGGAATACTCCATGACATCACACAGATAGTCGGATGTATGAATGGGTGATTGTCTCTCACCAGGTGCATCATTCATGAAACCTGTTTGGCGACATTACCTGCCTTCTTGTAATAGTGGATTCATTTTTTTTCCCAAAGATAGATGCTCTCATGTGGTTTAAAGTGATTTGATATTCTCTCTGACAGACGGATAATATTGTTTAACCATTTTTAGCGTAACCCCTCTGTTGTGCTTCTTTTCTCGTTGGATTCTTGCAGCTTGTTAGTCATGTCTGCTGGCACCAGTGATAGTCTGAGGCGCAGCGAGAGGCTGGGGAGCACCAGGCAAGTGTCTTTCACTGAGGAGCGGTGTGTGGACCCGGTGGAGGATAGACAACCAACCCCACAGCCAAAGCCGGTCCACAAAGGCCGCCTTAAAGATGCTAATGGGAACGAGTCTGAGACCATCGACTTCATTCCCGGTGTAGCCGAGCCTTCATCTGCAGCATCCAGCTGCAATCCCTGCTCTTCTCCAAAGAGCTGTAAAACTTTCGTGTGCACTGTAATCACCTTTGGATTGTATAAGGTGTGCCAGCGCTGCATCCACGCTCCGCGTTTGGCGCCGAATGAGAGCTCCCCAGATGAGCCAGAAAAGATCAGCCTCCGAGGCGTTAACCCGGACAACAGCAAAGAAGAGGCTGACACTGAATGGTCAGACTTTCGCATTAACGGAGTCAAAGTAGTCGGTCCGAAAGATGATTTAGATTACGACATCAAATATTCACCATATGCGCCACTGCCTGCTCAAACCCCATCAGAGTTTGCCTCCCTGCATGATTCTGTGCCGTTTCATGACTGGGAGGACGGCGACGAGAACGTGGACTCCCTGATCACCAAGAAGCTACTGGAGCTGTACTCTGAGTATCAAATCGAAGAGCTGGCCAGGTGCACCTCAGACTCTGTGTTTCTGAGGAAGAGCAAAGCCATCAACCAACTCATCAACTCCCTGGCAGAGGAGCACAAAATGGACGAGCAGGAAGCCGAGTGCCGGTTAGTGCGGGGCATCATCCGCATCAGCACTCGGAAGAGCACGAAGAAGCGGCCGCCCATTCCCAGGATGGAGAGGACGATGTCGGACAGCGGGCACGAGACCATGATTGGGAGTGGCTCCTTTCCCTCAAGTAACAACAGTAAGTTGGGAAGTTTTCATTCCTTTATCATCGCCGATGTAATACCTACTGGTGTCAGAGAAAAGTGTTTGGTTGTTTTCTTTTCCTCAAGACGACTACAAGTCAAATCCCAACATCCAAATATCCGACTTGACTTCCACCGACAAGTTTGCCAGAAACATGTGGAGGAAAAATGGAGGTAAGAGTTATGTTTTATTCCTTTATAATACCTAAATATTTACAATATTTGCATTTATTAGAGTGAAAAAGAGAAAGGTGTAACTGTAATTTAATAATTCTCAGCATGGTGTGTAAGTAAGCACTTTACCAGACCCTGTTGACAAAACTCTTCAATAAGGAAGATGTTGCTTACAGAAAGCTTAAAGTTAGCAATTTAAGTATCATGAGATGCTACTTAAAACGAAAAAGCTTTATGTATCAGGGGAGGTACGTAACACCCAAGAGCTGCAAAGGATAAGTGGACACAGCTCTGGATGGTCACAGCTGCCTCAGACAGGGTGAGACACAGGGCACCGAACCCCTGACTCAGCCACACTGAGTCAGGGGTTCCCGGTTCCAAGCCTGGAACCGGGTCCCTGTGGTGGCCCATTTCCTGCACAGACCCACCCACAGCCAGCCCACACAGCAGGTCTCAAGAGAGACTCACCTGTAGAGCCACCAACGTGGCAGACAGGCACCAGCCCCCTGCTGTAGGCCAAACTCAGAATAAACAAGTTAGTAAGAACACATTAACACCCTACCTGGTGAGCTAGCCCTGGGTGAGCTAGCCCTGGGGGGGCTAGCTCACCCAGGGCTAGCTCACCCATTTGACCCTAGGGGGGTCAAATGGCATCCCAGACATTGGGGGCCCAGCTTAGCCCCCACTGTCTGCGAGGTCCATCATTCCACACCCCAAGATGTGAGCAATATGTAGTGTTGTATGTGTTGTGGAGAAGGGGGTGGTTGTTAAGGCACTGATGCCTGATTCCCAACTGACTGTCCCACCTGGGCCCATATCACCACAGCAACTACTTTGACTAGGGACCCATTAAAGCAGGGGAGTCAAACTAATTTTCGTTTTGTACCTAATCAACATCATGAATGCTCTTAAAGGGCCAGTTGTGCCAGAATGTGTTCATAAAACCTGTTCGCAAACTGTTAAAATATCAGTGAATTATTAAAATTAAAAAAATATATTATTGAACATCCTTTCAGTCCCTTCAGGATTTTGTGATACTTTTTGTGATTTTTTTGGTAATAAAAATCAAACTATTTGTGGTACTAATTTGGAAATATTTGTGATATTTGCACTTTTTTCTGACGGTAAATGCGACCTTTTATATAAATCATCTGACATCAACTAAGGCTGATACAGATGGTTAGTATAAGTTTTTGAGAAAAATCAGCAATAAACTCCCAATTATGTATTACCACAAAAAATGTGGGTTTTTGTTGATTTTGCGTGAATTTCCACAATAATTCTCAAGAAACTGGAGGGACTGATTGATATAATTTGGCAATAAGCAGATAAAAACTGCATTGATTTGACTGATAAATAAATTGATAGCAAAGTAACCCAGGAGCCAAAGAATTTTAACTTTCGTCTGTTGTTTTTTTTTAATCTAAAGTCTTGTTTTATGGATTTTAGTGAGCAATATTTTTCGATTTTTTTAACCTCTGTACATCATTGTGGTCCAACTAATATAATTTTAGATGTTCTTCAATGTGCATTGACTAAAACAGGATACCAAATATTTTACACATTCAGAGTATTTTACACTCATAGGCATTTCACATAAATGTATAACTTATTGTCATACTTATGACTGATCATGAATCTATTTCGATTAAAACAATAAAAAGGGATTAACTTTCATGATCTTTTCTGTGTTAACTAAATGTAATGCAGCTGCATTAATATTAACACAACAACAAAACCAGCCTGAACAGTTTGCATTCACAGGCACACATAAGGAGCATTAAATGACTTTACAGACCGCTGCGTCAGTAGAAAATGTGTTAACCTTTAAAATTTTGCTGTGATAAAACACCTGAGTCATGCCTGGCAGGCTCCTGCTGTTTACTACACAGCCGCACTGTAAACATGCACTGTATAACAGAAAGTGAACAAAGGGCAAGCTGCAGGAGGGCTCGCCTTGGGTGCTGGTAATTCAGTGATCAGCATTATGCTAATAGAATAAGATCAAATATGTATTTTGTATTGTTCAGGAGGTCTATCAAAAACCTTATTAAAAATGTCAGTAGAAAGACAAATCTGCCCCAGTTTGCTGCGTTCTGAGAAAAAAAAACATGAAAATGTTTATGTGGAATGAGTCTGTGTAGGATATTCATGGTGCATTCACAATGTAGCAACGTTTTTACGTTCGTAGGGGTTATCGGTCAGAGCTAAATGACCAAGAGAACCAAGCTAGCCATAAATTCTGGAAAAACATATATGCTGAAATATATATAATATTGAACAATACAAACTTTTACATAAGTAAAACCAATTTCCGTATTGTTTTTATAGCTGCCTCACAAGTAATGTTAAATCTCTTCCTGTTGATGGCTGCTGCCTCTGTTGGGGAAATATAACATATCAAACTTGTCCATTTCTTTACCGTTTGTCAACTGATGTTACTTTCAAGTAGTTAAAATAATATGGCATACTGAAATGCCTCTCTGCATTTCAAATTCCAAATAATTTCTTTTGTTTGTTACTCCTATAAAGTTAAAGTCAGTAGCCATAATAACACTGTTATGACGTAAGCTAATTACAAATGATGCTAATGATATTGGTATGTTACATGCTGTGTAACATACTGCGATATAGAGGGCTCCCCCCAAAAAAAAAATCTGCTTTGGGTCTCAAAAAGTCTTGGGCCAGCCCTGGCTTAAACCTTAATTACAGGGTTAATGTTCTGAGATATATATTAAGAACATCACAACTCTCCAGGAGAGTGGATCAATAATCAAATTCTAATTCTGTAGGTCAGAATGAAACAGATTGACATTCACTTAAGGCTGACTGCGTTTTTGTTTTTTTGGTTCTGGTCTAATAGGTCCCACTTCAAGTTCTCCATCAACCTACTCGCCCTCTCAGTCAGAGATGGAGTCTTCAGGTGTGCCACTGCTACACGCTTCGGCGAGGACATGAAGCGGCGGTACGGAACGACCCGGTTGCCTCCATCAGGTCACGCACTGGGTGTTGGAAGGACGACTTTACTTGCACCGGAGTGTCCGGCTGAGCCGAGCTCCTTTGACAGGAAGGAGAAAAATGTGAAGGGTGGAATTATGTGAAGGCTACAGTGAACTCAGGGTTCTGCGTGCAGATATTTATGAATGTAAATATTGTATCTGCACATTTGAAGGATCACCTAATTGGGACTCCGTCTGTAAGACAGTTGTTAAATTTTTTATGACAATTAACCGTCCGCTTGTTTGAGAAGAGCTTGAGGCTCTACAGTTTGATTTTGTCCTTTACCATGCCTTTGTTAGGCAGAACACTGTTTTTTCTTTGCTTTTTGTTTGTTTTGTTAGTACACATTTCACCATGCCCTCGTCTTCATAGAGTTGATTTTAATTCATTTTAATTATTGCTTTTCTTTGTTTATGAATGACGTTATTAGTTTTCTTAACTTAATTTGTGTTAGAGGCATTTTAATGGTCAAAGTGTCAGTAGTCTAAGAGATGAAGAATTTGTTGAAGATCTTTTCAAATATTTAATTTGAATATTTAGTATAAGTAAGATTCAAAATAACATCACTGTAAAAATTTTATTCCTGGGACTTGACTAGATGAATTTCGGATTATTTCAACATTTTTAATCATGGCCAATCATTACTTTATTCTCATTTTTATGGTATTCTGTACAAAGGTAAATCCTCTTTCTTGTCAGCTATTAACAATGCAATAGACATACTTTATTAGACACACATCTCTTTAGTGTGTTAATCACAAGTCAGCACCTCATTCTGTGGTTAAAGTTGTTTTCAACAGTTGACAGACCAATATCCTAACCTGTCTGCTGTTTTTCAGAGTTATATGCTAAGCTAAATAAGCTAACATGCTGGAACTCCATTTCTTTCTCTAGAAACTTGAATGCCTGTCTTTTGTAAGTAATATATTATGATTAAAAACCTTAAAAGATACATAAAAGTATACTTAATGTTCAGAGAGATTGGAGTATGCAATATTTTATAATATGAAGCTCATATTTAACATGTAGCTCTTGCTTGTTCAGGGGAAACCTCAAATCTCTCAAATTCTCACTTTCTGCCTGTTGTAAAGCTTCTGTCCTTTAAACAGCAAATGTTTTCTGATGTTCCTCTGTTGACCAGGTGAATAATAAAAACATCAACCTTTTTGTTAATATTATCAATATTAAAAGTGTATAAGTGTAACAGCCCAGTCTATCTACTTAGGCTTTTTTTCAGTTCTGTGTGAAATCAATGGTTACTTATGGTATTCTTGTATTGCAAATGTTTGATGTTTTGCCTGCTTTAGTCGTGTTGTCAGGTCACTGGAGGTAAAAAGAAAAAAAAAAGAATATAAATAAAAAGATTGTCAAACTAAGTGTAAATTGAAGTCAGCATTCAATGTATTTAGTTGTCACTTAATATATGACTATTAAATATGTTAAATGACAAGAGGGACATATGCAACTAAAAGTTTCACAGAATAGCTTCTGATTGAATGAATGAAAGCTAAGAATGTTAGAAATCCAACACATATTTAAAAGTGTCTGTGACAAATCTTTTTTGATAAATCAAAATATATGGAAACAATAAAATATTTTAAGAAGTAAGTTCACGTCACTGAATTTAGTAGTTTTTGACATATTAGGTCATATAATTCTAATTGGGCGTATCAGGGCAAAGCTGTAAAGCTACCATGGAAACTGCAAACAAAACCTGTATCGGCTATTTTAAATGTTTGCTATTCAAATGACCTGCAATGTTAACCCTGTGAAATAAAATAAATTAAATAAATAATGTGAAGTTAAAAGAGTATTTTATACCTTAATTTTTTATTTTTTCTTTTTTTTCTAGAAAATTCTGTTTTACTAGGCTCCTTTTCCGCCCCGAACAAATACTCTCAATCAGTTGGACGCTTGTCTTTGTCAATTAAAATACGCCCTTCTGATTGGTCAAACTAGCCTAGGCGGGGTTAGTTTCCAGGAAGTGAGTCGCGTGACAACAGGTTCAGGCAAGAGCACATCTTTAGGGTTATTCTAACTTTATTTGTTACTCGCGCACTTAACGATAAGCTAAGTGTTTCACCTCTAGCAACATGGGGGAAGAAGAAGAAAAGTATGACGGTATGTTGCTCGTTATGGCCCAGCAACACGAAGGAGGAGTGCAGGAGGTAAACCAGCGTGCTGCTAATATCCTGATGCTATGATGCTAATAGTTAGGCTAAGACACGTTTCGACCTGTACTGGCAGAAATACTGACGCATTTAAATTAATCGCCTGTGGTATTAATGTAAACATTAATACCACATTAATATTGGGACGCGTTAAGCAATAACCACCAGCTCGTTGTGGTAAATTCGGCGTACCAATGGCTACGAAATTAGATTAGCCCTTAAAAGCATTCAGATGGCAGCTTACAAGCTGTGAATAGAAGGTTGATAATAGTTGTGCATGTTGGTATAATGCCGCTGTTCTTTACTGTAAGTATTTGGAGACCGATATTTCTATAAGGGTCAGTTATTTTTATCAGGAAATTCCAGTGCCTTTCAAAAGTATTGATGCCATTTCAACTTTTTCACATTTAGTGACGACAACCAAACACTGTTAGTGAATTATGGATATTTTTCTTAAAATGATAATAATATGTTTTAGGTTTTTAGTAAATAAAAAAATTAATATATGGAATATATTAGTATTCAGTATATATATATATATATATATATATATATATATATATATATATATATATATATATATATAGCATCAATTAAAGGAAAAAATGTTCTGGTTATGATGCTACCGGTGCTGAGGTTTTGACTGCAATTTTTAATTGAGTTCAAGACTTTAACTGGGCCATTTTGATATATAAACATGCTATAATCTTAACCATTCAATTTTAGCTCTCTGTCCTTACTTAGTAAACAACACTAAGTCAAAATGTTTCAAAACTATCTATAGTTTTCCTTTCACTGACTTTGTCATCCAGTAGAAAGAGAGAAAACAGAAAATTAACCATGCAAATCAAAATGATTGAGTTTGTTTTAATTTATCATGCAATTTATTGATTTATTGATTATTGCAATAGGCTTAGCTGTAATGTGTGGAAACGTTTCATGCGTTTGAATATTTTTACAAGGTGTGTAAAAGTAGGACACACATGTTCCTAATTTCCAATATGTCACACTGTGGCTATAACGACACTGCACTCTGACAGACTTAAAGCACCAAAGAACAACCTTTCATCCTATTTCTATGTATAAGGAAATTAATAATACATTCATTCTACATTATGTCTCTCATTGGAATCTGTTTTTTGCCATCCAACAGCTAGTAAATACGTTTTTCAGTTTCCTCCGACGCAAGACGGATTTTTTCATAGGCGGAGATCAAGGAGCTGCAGAGAAGGTAAGAACGATGGGATGGAGCTGTTCCTAAGAAGAGAAATAAAATAAAGTAATTATAAATGCATATAAAATTTAGATGAGCACATGCATAAAAATAGTATTGGACCAATAGCAGTGAGGGGGTAAAGTAGTTAGTCAGATAATAAACAAGAGGAATATCTAAATGTTTATTAGAAAACATTTGAACATTCTCTGATCTCAAAAGATTGTATAATTGCAAGAAAGAAATGATCATTTTCCTTGATTTAAGGCATACACTTGCAACATTAAAGCAAAAATATTCTGTAATATTGTAAAGTAAAAGTTGGCAAATAAAAAAAAAACCTTATTCAATTTTCTGATATTATAAAATCACATCCTACTTTAACTCCATTTTGTATCAGTTATGATGATGATAACTGTCTCTTTTTTTAGTTTTAATATCACTTGACTACATGTCTCATTCTGGAGAATTGATCTTTTGAACCTACATCTCAATTCTGCTGTTATACTTGAATCTCAAAAGTGTGGGTCAATGAAGGACATGTCTATTTCCTAACTGACATCTCTTATTAATGTATTGATTTTAAAATGTTTACCAAACCAAACTGGGTTTTGTAACTTGTCCCACCTCTACTCTCTAGTTTCTGTTACCATTTGGTCAGACTTAACCGTATGAATGTGTTCGCCTGTCAAATGTCGACTCCTGCGTCACTTCCAGCTGGTTAAAGACTCCTTCGACCACCACAGTAAGCTGGCGCTGAAGGCCCACAGAGAGAAACAAATGAAACAGGAGAAGGAGAAGAAGGAGAAAGCAGAAAGAAGTGCCAAGCTCGCCGAGGAGGAGGAGAAGAAGAAGAAGAAGAAGGAGGACGGGGACGGTCCAAGAATTCAGGAGCTGACGGACGAGGAGGCCGAGAAGCTGCAGTCTGAGCTGGACAAGGTCTGGACAAAAAAAGTCTTCTTTTGCAACCAAACCACTGACAGAAATGACTGACTTGTTTGTTGTGGTTTTATATGCGATAGAAGAAGAAGGAGGAGGAGGAGGAGACAAAGAATGACACAGGAGGTGAAGAGAAGAGCTCTGACAAAGAGAAGGGGGTGAGTGAACTGGTTGGCACTTTGGAGCTCTAAACTGCTTCACGTAAAATCAATGAACATTGTAAACATGGGAAGAACAATAAGAAATGCATTTCAAACAACAATAAGGGTAATAAAACAGAAGTCTCAGAATCATGTCAAAGTCGAGGAATAAAAGTGTTGCAGAGTTTTAAAAGTGGACGTAAAGGAGCGTCTAATGTCAGAGTGTCCACTCATCCTTAAAAAGTGTTTTTTGAGGATTCATGGATCTAAAATTAAGGCATTTAAAAAAAAAAAGTTAAGTTTGCCTTAAATAAATACATTAATCACAAATTTTGTCATGGCAGGACTATCTAATGTCATATTTTCTTTGTACTATAGTTTTTTGTTTGTTTCATTTTTTCTTGTGGAACTTTATCAAACGTTTGTCACCAGCAGACGTCTTTATTTCGTTTGAGGCCGCTGCTAATTAGCTGCTAACATACCCTACCTAGCTTGATAGTTTTTGGAGATCATTTGTCTTCACTATTCGCTCACTTCTGTTACCAGCCCATACGACGCTACATGGATTCTGTGTAGAACAGCTCAGCATTGTGGGTATCAGTACTGGATCGATGCCTTCAGATTCGCTCTTGAAATTCTATTTTATTTTCCTGTTCTAGTTTCTCAACTCTCTTTCAGATTTTTTATTTTTTTTTTTGTATTTTATTTAGAAAATAATTCACTACAATTTTTGTTTTTCTACTGTTTCTGTTTATCGTGTTAATATGTTATTATTAAGGTATATTGTAGACACCTATAAGCTGCGTCTAAAGTTTTGTAGGTTTTAACAAAATGAATTTAAAGGAAAACTGAAAAACACCTAGAGATCAGAAGTTTCATATATCACACTGGGATAAGTTTTGATGATACTGGTTCTGTGTTTACTTGTTGTTGGACTGATGCTAAAATATGCAGCATCACACACTTCTAAGCAGCATTAGTTGTGATACAAACTAAATTTGGAGGTTGAGTGAAGACTAAAAGGAGCAGTAATTAGTCTCTTCAACTGAAGTAAGAATGTGACGAGAGTTACGTGATTTTTCTCGTGTACATTTTTGATGTTACAGTTTTTACATCTCATTCATCATAGTCTTAAGGTCTTAAAAAGTCTTAAATGTGAGTCGCTGAAATGTTCAGAAACCCTGAGTATGCAACAGGAGATGGTTCAATAATGTGGAACGGCACTAAAAGCTGTTTCTCCTCCATCCAGTCCGACTCGGACGCAGAGGAGGACGAGAAGGACAAAGACAAACTGAAGCCTAACTCAGGAAACGGAGGTGACCTTCCTAACTACAAATGGACACAAACGCTGTCAGAAATCGATGTAAGTGTATCATTTGTGCTTAACCTGTGTGTCACTCTTTCCTTTAGGACAATCAAAGGAAGTAAGGAGTGTGAAATGTTAAACTTTTAGTTTAGGAGTCTATTTAAAAAAATGTGCTGTAAGTATACTTCACTAGTTAGTGGATCTTTTTATGCCTTGTCGCAGATTGCTGTTCCTTTCGATGTGAAGTTCCGCATCAAGGGCCGAGACGTGGTGGTGGACATCCAGCGTCGCTTCATCAAGGTCGGCCTGAAAGGCCACCCTCCTGTTATGGAAGGTCAGCTCTTCAACGAGGTCAAGGTGGAGGAGAGTTCCTGGCTCATCGACGACGGCAAAGTGGTCACAGTCCACCTGGAGAAGATTAACAAAATGGAGTGGTGGAGCAGGATCGTTACCACGGATCCAGAGATCAACACCAAGAAAATCTGCCCCGAGAACTCAAAGGTAAATCGGCAGCGCACTGCGTTCTGTGCTGGGTTGCTTGTTGCTAAGCAACGGGGATCACAAACCAGTAACACCGGTCCTCTGCTGTTCTTCTGTTACCTGCTGAGCAGCTGTCGGACCTGGACGGAGAGACACGTGGGATGGTGGAGAAGATGATGTACGACCAGAGGCAGAAGTCTATGGGGCTGCCGACGTCCGAAGACCAGAAGAAACAAGACGTTCTGAAGAAGTGAGTCCTCACCGGCTGCCTTTTGATCGCTAAATGTTGTCGATATTCCACTGAAGTTGAAAATGCACAATTTTGCCGTTTCCGTTAAAAATGTGACGCGATTAAAATCACACACTACTAAGTTTGATCACGGAAGAAGTCATTAAAAAACATTCTGCGCTGTGATCCTCCTACCACTTCCTGTCATGTTCTTCATCTTTTCCACCAGTAGTAACGTCCCGTTGTTGATCTTGTGACTCGTGTGATGCGAAAAAGCGTTTCCATAGCAGTTTTGCGAAATACGCTAATTTCGAAATGGTCAAAAAATCCACCTCATCCTAGCACCAAAACTTTTTATCAACAAATTGCCATGTTTCCATTCAGAAAATGTATTTTCAAATTGTGCAATTTTAAGGTCAGTGGAAACACAGCTACTGCTGGAGCACTTCCAGAGCGTAAAGTGTTTGCCTCTTTCCTGATTTCCTGTTTTTTAGCACGTTTCAGAATGTTTGATAGTTTGATGTTTCAGAACATCAAACCCGCCAAAGACAACAAAAGTAAATGCAAAATCCTTTTAAATGAAGGTGTTGATGAGGGAAACAATCCAAACCTACATGGCCCTGTATTTTTACTAATACACTCTTTGGCCTGTCATAGTTCAGCTGTGAAAACTTTTTTTAGTTTTCACAACCAAACAAACCTGCAATGATAAACTTGGAGTTTGATGGGAACAAAACCAAACATGCCACAAAGTTGAATTTATATTTAACTGAACTTGGAGGTCAGCTTTGTGACATTTTCACTCTGGGTCTTGTTGAAGACGTTAACGTCTGAGAAATGAACTGTTTCTAAAAACGCTCGTCCTTTATGCTTCCTAAGGTGACTTTTCCTCTGTCTGCAGGTTCATGGCCCAGCACCCAGAGATGGATTTCTCTAAAGCCAAATTCAGCTGAGAGTTGCTGTTGAAGTCCACTTCCTGCTTCCTGTTGTAGCCTTTCGTCGAGCGCTGAAACATCATCTCTTTAATGGATGCGGTATATTTGACTTTCACGTCTTAAATGTTTAGGTTCATGTCTTTGTTTTGCTGGAGAGTGTGTTTGATAAATGTGAACACAGCGTTTCCTCTCTGCAACATGTCTGATATTTAAAGATATCTGCATTTTTTTTTTAAATAAAGGAATTTAAACTCAATGAGCCTTTAAAGTCTGTACTTCCTGTGGCCTTTTGTAGTTTTAACTACTGATAAATCTGAATACTCAACCAAGACAAATGGCAGTAAACTGTGTTTTATGTTTAAATTGTTTCCAAAAGCTAATTGGACATTTGTATGAAAGGAGATTTCACATGTAAGTAAGAGAGATAGAAGTTTCTTTTAATGGGGAAATAGAAATGATCTACAAGTGAGTGCAAAGAGAAAGAACATTCAAAGGACAGAAATGAACACTTTTGGCCACAAGAGGGCAGTATTTTCCTACATGTCTTAAATTGCATGAGATGGAGTGGTTTGAGATCAATGAAGTATTTTTAATTGACTTTGAGTATTGAATTCAAATAGTCAAACAGCCATGGCCGTTGTCTAATTTCAACAGCCACATGAAGGATTTGAAATTAGATGGACGGGTTTATGCAACATTTTAAATATATTATCTTCACAAATTGAATGTGGAAAAATGTAGTGTTTTATTTTTATAAAATGAAATGCTTTAGATCAAAGCCATCCAATCTTTTGGCCACATGATCTAAATTCATTAAGTCAAACTTGTGGGGCGCAGAAATCTGATCTCCCTTTTCTATTTTTACTTTTACTAATTTTGTACATTTTTTTTTTACCTGCTCAACCTTAAACTATATCTTAAACATCAAATATGAACACTAAAGAACATGTCAACCAATCAGAGAAAAGGCTATTGAAAAGTAAGAAGATGGATACGGACGGGTGAAAGTAGTTTTAAATTCTTGGGGGTACTATGACAAAAAAAAGTGTGTATAAATATATATATATATATATATATATATATATATATAT